CCCGGTGAGGTCGAGACGGCACCGGTGAGGCCGAGATGGCACCAGTGAGGCTGAAACGGCCCATGTGAGGTTGAGACGGCCCATGTGAGGCTGAGACGGCCCCGGTGAGGCTGAGACGGCCCCGTTGAGGTTGAGACAGCCCCGGTGAGATTGAATCAGCCCCGGTGAGGTTGAGACGGCACCGGTGAGGTAGAGACAGCCCCAGTGAGGTTGAAATGGCCCCAGTGAGGTTGAATCGGCCCCAGTGAGGCTGAAACAGCGCGGTGAGGCTGAGACAGCCCCTGTGAGGTTGAGACGGCCCCGGTGAGGCTGGGACGGCCACGGTGAGGTTGAGACAGCCCCGGTGAGGTTGAATTGGCACCAGTGAGGTTGAGACAGCACCAGTGAGGTTGAAACGGCCCCGGTGAGGTTGAGACGGCCCCGGTGAGGTTGAGACAGCCCCAGTGGGGTTGAAACGGCCCCTGTGAGGTTGAGGCGGCCCCTGTGAGGCTGAAACAGCCCCCATGAGGCTGGGACAGCCCATGTGAGGCGGGGACAGCCCCTGTGAGGCTGAGATGGCCCCTGTGAGACTGAGACGGCCCCTGGGAAGCTGAGAAAAATACCACATGAACTCACTCATTTATGGATAATAAGAAACATTATAGACTGATGAACAAAAATGGATACAGAGGCAGAGCAGCATTGAGCAGAATGTCAAACTACAGTGGGAACCCTGGGGAGGGTTGTGGGGAGTAGGAGATCAACCGAAGGACTTATATGCATGCATATGAGAATAACTAATGGACACAAGACACTGGGGGGTGGGGGAAGCCGGGGGAATGTCAAGGGGGAGAAAAAAGGAGACATGTGTAATACTCTTTGTAATACTTTAAGAAATAAAAATAAATAAATAAAATAAATGACTATTTAGAAAACAATTTTAGGTCTTTTTTCCATGCCATGGAATCAGTTACATTTAAATATTTTAATTTAACATGGAAAACCATGTAAGTATTAAAAGAGAATATAAGTGCATATTTCTATAATCTGGTATGAGGAAATCAAAGATAGAAACCAGGTTCACAGTTCTATTACACATCATCTATATGCTGTATTGTATGTTTACCACCCCAAGTCAAGTCTCCATCACCATTTATTGCTCCTATATCCTCCACCTCCCTCCACTCCTTTCTCCCCACCACCCCCTGACAATCACCACACTGTGTCCGTGTCGATGAGTTTTCGCTCTTTTTTTTTCTTCTTTTTTGCTTAACCCTGTCATCTGACCCACCTGGCCCCCACTCCCCATCCCCCAATCCCCACAGCTGTCAACCTGCTCTCTATCTATGAATCTGTCACTATTTTGCTTGTTCATTTTGTTCATTGGATTTCACATATGAGTGAAATCATATGTTACTTCTCTGTGGCTTATTTCACTTAGCACAATGCTCTCCAGGTCCATCCATGCTGTCTCAAAGGGTAAGATTTCCTTTTTCACTGCTGAGTAGTATTCCATTGTGTAAATGTACCACAGCTTTTTTATCCACTAGTCTACTGATGGACACTTGGCTGCTTCCAGATCTTGGCTATTGTAAATAATGCTTCAATGAACATAGGAGTGTGTATATTCTTTCAAATTAGTGTTTCGGATTTCTTCGGATAAATTCCCAGAAGTGGAATATCTGGGTCATAAGGCAGTTTCATTTTTTATTCTTAAAAATATATATTTTTATTGATTTCAGGGAGGAAGGGAGAGAGAGAAAAACATCAAGATGAGAGAGAATCATTGATCGGCTGCCTCCTGCACACCCCACACTAGGGATCAAGCCCACAACCCAGGCATGTGCCCTGACTGGCAATTGAATCATGACCTCCTGGTTCATAGATCAACGCTCAACTGCTGAGCCATGCTAGCCAGGCCCACTGCTTTCCACAATGGCTGCAGCAATCTGCATTCACACCAACAGTGCAGGAGGGTTCCCTTTGCTCCACATCCTCAGCAACACTTGTTTGTTGATTTATTGATGATAGCCATTCTGACAGGTGTGAGGTGATATCTCATTGTGGTTTTAATTTGCATTTCTCTGATGATTAGTGACTTGAACATCTTTTCATATGTCTTTTGGTCATCTGTATGTCCTCTTTGGAGAAGTGTATATTCACATCTTTTGCCCATTTTTTAATTAGATTGGTGTTGTTGGTTTTTTGGTGTTGAGTTTTTTAAGTTCTTTATAAAATTTGGATATTAACCCCTTACCAGATGTATCATTGGTGAATATGTTATTACATTCAGTGGATTATCTTTTCATTTTATTGATGGTTTTCCTTTGCTGTGCAAAAACTGTTTAGTTTCATATAGTTCCATTTGTTTATTTTTTTGTTTGTTTCCTTTGCCCGAGAAAGGTATATCAGAAAAATATTACTAAGAGAAATGTCAGAGACTTTACTGCCTGTTTTCTTCTAGGATTTTTATGGTTTTTATGTCTAACACATAAGTCTTTTTTTTTTAATCGTGGTCTTTTAAAATTTTTTATTGATTTTAGAGAGGAAGGGAGAGGGAAAGAGAGATAGAAACATCAATGATGAGAGAGAATCATCTATCAGTTGCCTCCTGCACGCCCCCTACTGGGGATCAAGCCTGCAACCTGAGCATGTGCACTGACCAGGAATGGAACCATGACCTCCTGGTTCAGAGGTCGACGCTCAACCACTGAGCACACTAGCCAGGCTAACATTTAATCCATTTTGAGTTTATTCTTGTGTATGCTGTAAGAAGGTGCTCTAGTTTCATTTTTTTTTGCATGTATCTGCCCAATATTTCCAACACTGTTTATTGAAGAGACTGTATCTTTACCCCACTATATGTTTTTTGCCTCCTTTTCATCAAACATTAATTGACTACAAAGGCCTGGGTTTAATTCTGGGCTCTCTATTCTGTTCCATTGATCTATATGTCTGTTTTTATGTCAGTACCATGCTGTTTTGATTACTATTGCTTAAAGCAGTGGTTCTGAACCTTCTGGCCCTTTAAATACAGTTCCTCATGTTGTGACCAAACCATAAAATTATTTTCGTTGCTACTTCATAACTGTAACGTTGCTACTGTTATGAATCGTAATGTAAATATCTGATATGCAGGATGGTCTTAGGCGACCCCGGTGAAAGGGTCGTTCGACTGCCAAAGGGGTTGCGACCCACAGATTGAGAACCACTGGCTTAAAGTATAGTTTGATATCAGGTAGTGTGAGTCCTCCAACTTTGTTCTTCTTTTTCAAGATCACTGTTGCTATTCATGGTCTTCCATGATTTCATATAAATTTTTGGAATATTTGTTCTAGTTCAATGAAATATACCATTGGTATCGTAATAGGAATTGCATTGAATCTATAGATTGCTTTGGGTAGTATGGACATTTTAATGATGTTAATTCTTCCTATCCATGAACACTGTATAGGCTTCCACTTTGTATCTTCTTCAATTTCTTTTTATAGTGTCTTATAATTTTGTGAACACGGGTCTTTTACATCCTTGGTTAAATTTATTCCTCAGTATTTTATTCTTTTTGAAGCAGTTGTGAATGGGATTGTTTTCTGGTAGTTCATTATTGGTGTATAAAATTGTTTTTTTAATAGAGTTAGAAATATTTATCTCATTTAAGAAAAATAACAGCATAAGCACAACAATAAGTGATCACCAATATTTGGTTAGGGAGTAATAGGGGGTAGTGGAAATTGTGACAAATTAGAGCATACTGATCTCATCCCAGGCATGCCCCTCCTCCCCTCCCAATTGTGCAACAACATGGCAGTTTAGAGGCCCCAAAGCCACTCAGTTCCAAGCAATTGTTGCCATGCAAACATGCAGCCTCAGAATTATCAGATCATCTGAGCTTTTCTCATGTAAAGCTCCCAAATTTAAACTGTTCTCAGTTGTTAAAACTTTGTATAGGTGCCGGGCCAGTGTGGCTCAGTGGTTGAGCATCCAGCCATGAACCAAGAGTTCACTGGTTCAGCCCTAACCAGTTTGGTTCAGTGGATAGAGTGTCAGCCCGCAGACTGAAGGGTCCCGGGTTCAATTCAGGTAAAGGGCACATACCTCAGTTGCAGGCTCAATCCCCAGCCCTGGTCTGTCCGATGTTTCTCTCTCTGCCTCCCTTCTTCCCTCCCTTTCACTCTCTAAAAATTAATGGAAAAATATCCTCAGGTGAAGATTAACAAAAAAATAAAGTAAAAGAGTTCACCGTTTCAATTCCCAGTCAGGCACATGCCCAGGCTCTATCCCCAGTAGGAGCTAGCTGATCGATGTCTCTCATGGATGTTTCTATCTCTCTCTCCCTTCCTCTCTCTCTAAAAATCAATAAAAACATATATATATATATATATATATATATATATATTTATACATATATATATATATATATTTTTCCCCCTCAGCTGTGTTTCCTTTTTTTTTTTAATTGTTTAAAGTATTTTCCCCCAATTGACCTCCCTCCTTCCCCCGAAAAACATATTTTTTTAAAAAAAATTGTGTAGGCAAAACAAAACATATTCATAAGGCCTCAAAGTTAATGAACTCTGGCTGTATAGTTTTGCTTTTGGTTTCAGGATTATGCTTACCACTTTAAATGAGTTGAGATACTTTTCCTTCCTCCTCCTTCCCACACCTCCCTCTCTAGATCTGTAATTCTCTGGATAACAGAGGAATTATCTATAGAAGTTTAGTTTGACTTCCACATCCATTGCCCTCAGGATCAGGGGCCTTTTTGTGAAGACAGAGTTTTATATTTCCGGATTTTTTCTTGAGCCAGTTTTGGTAACTTTATCATGGGTATGTATGTATCCAAAAAACCATAGTTTATATAAATATATAGGGTTTGGTACTCTTCAGGAATCCACTGAGGGTCTTGGAATGAATAGTATTCCCCAAGGATAAAGAGGTACTACTGTGCATGTACAAAGATGATGCTGTCTTGGTTCTTAGTCTTTATAACCTAATTTTTAAAATTCTTTTTCCCCCCACAGTTCATCCATGAGCTCGGATTTCCCACATTACAACTTCAGGATGCCTAATATTGGATTCCAGAATCTGCCTCTCAACATATATATTGTGGTTTTTGGCACTGCTATATTTGTCTTCATCCTTAGTTTACTCTTCTGTTGCTACTTGATTAGGTAATCAATTTTCATTCTGTGTTACTTTAGAATATGTTAAACAATCACTAATAAATTAACTTTCTCCCCTTAGGTTAACAAATGTTATAAGTATTGTAGGGGAGGAAGAAAATTTCCTCTTCTAGGCTCTTTCAGCTGGTCTAATAATCAAACTGACACAAGATAGATTAATAAGAGAAAAATAACCAAATTTAATTACATACGTACATATGGAAACCCCACATACATGGGAGAGTCAGAGACCCCACATACATGGGAGAGTCAGAGACCCCACATACATGAGAAGATTCAGAGACAGAAAGTTAAAATGAGGTATATGTGGTGGGGCTTCAGAGGGGAGAAAGGTCATTTGAAGGAAAATAAGATGAGCAGATGTTCAGTAATTACATGTTTGTCCTGCCCTGTAAGTAATTACATGTTTGTCCTGCCCTGTAGGTCATAAAATGTTATTTATGGTAATAACTGTTATTATAGACAAAGCACCTAAGTTAGATTCTTTAAGGAAGAGATAAAGATTTCTCTTGACCCACAGAGCCTCAGTTGCCTTCAGCTCAAAATAATCTACAAGTCAAAGTAGCACATCTTAGGGAGGCCTGTTCTGAACCACTTCAAAATGATAATTAGCAAATTTTTATTTTTTTCTTTCTTTTTTTTTCTTTTTCTTTTAATTAGCAAATTTTTAAAACTTAAAGTGGCTTAACACATTAACATTCTATGAGTTACTGGTCAATAAAACACCTTTATACAGTCTTCAATCCTATTTGTTGATAGGATGTTTTATTGTAGGAGAAAATTGTTCTCATTTGTTTTTCCAACATATTAGCATCTGAACTGGATACACTTCTGTCATTGTCTGTCTCCAAGATTTAATCTACTTTCACAAAGATTTCAAGATTGCTTTTCTGGAGAGTGCTACATCATTGTTAGCTAAAGTCGTTAAGGATTAGAAAGCAATCTCCAAATAAGATCCAAGCCTTTAAACAAATTCTTGTGGTCTCTCAAGAGTATTTTAAGCCCTGGCTGGTTTGGCTCAGTGGATAGAGTGTCGGCCTGCGGACTGAAGGGTCCCAGGTTCGATTCTGGTCAAGGGCATATACCTTGGTTGCAGGCACATCCCCAGTAGGGGGTGTGCAGGAGGCAGCTGATCGATGTTTCTAACTCTCTATTCCTCTCCCTTCCTCTCTGTAAAAAATAAATAAAATGTATTTTTTTAAAAATTAAAAAAAAAGAGTATTTTAAGCTCCTGTTTGTGTTGAACTGATCAGGTGTTCAGGTGATTGATTATCTGCATAAATCACAAAGTATTCCACAAGCTCTGCAGCACATGTACTGACAAGTAATGAAGGGTAACAGGTCACTTAAAGGAGTAATGGATTTGGCCAGTAAAGATTCACAGTTGACTAATTCATAATTGTTTAAGCAAGCATTTTTCTCTTTTTAAGTATTTAAAATAGGGCCTAATTTTCAAAGCCAAACCTCAGACTATAAAAAATTTTATAGTGTATTGTTCAAAGAGCTTTATGAAATAAAATAATAGAAAATTAAATGTTATTATACAGCTATACTAGTACATCTGATAGTTTTTAGTGTTTGTACAGTATATTATTATGGTTAAGATAAATACGATCATCAGATTATCTTTCAGCAATAGTTCATTATTGCCCCCAGTGTTCCAGGGTACTTATTTACTGACAGTCAAATCTGAGTGAATTTAGTGTGTAGTTTCTAATTTTCTGACAAGTGAATTTATATTCTTCACAGAAGGTGAATCTCCTCTGAAGTTCTCACAAATTTAATCACTCCTTGTATCTTATAGATATGCTGGCTGCCTATGATTTTTTGGTCTTGCTTAGAGAAATAAATACTTAGCTAATATAATTATAGGATTTAGGAAACACTTTAAAAAATCTGTTTATTACTAGAAATTTACTTTTCCTAACATTTCTTTAATAATTGTTTGATAAATGTTATGTAAATATTCAGCTTTTTTTAAAAATAAGGGAATTAGCCATAATTAAACAGGACCTCATAGCATTAAAATATTCCTTTTTTCCAAACCTAGTAAATTTTTTTGGAAATTTCTCTACAAATACTGGCTTAATTCAAATTTGTGAATTTAATATTTGAAACCGAATTATTTCTTAAAAGAAGATAAAAATATTTTAAAAGATTAAGGAAGAGCTTATATAAAATATTCTAAAATGTAGATAGCTCATAGTACAGTTTTTATTATTATGTCAAAGAATTAATTAAGCCTTAGATTTTTGTTTGCTTTAGGAAAAATACTAATATACCAATTGTGATTCTGGGTAAATTTTTTGAGAAATAAGTTATGAAACACTATTTTACCTCGTATTTCTTTCAGTAATCAAGCAAGCAAAGGGATAAAGAAAAAAAATCATAGCAGTTGTTTTTATGCTATGATTTCATACTATGATCGCCCTGCTCGTCGCCCTGCAGAGGGAGGCAACTGGCGGCAGCTGGGGGTGGGGCTGGCAAGTGGGCAGTGCCAGGCTGGCCAAGGCAGGTGCCAGTGGGCCCCCCCCCCCCGATCACCCCACCGGTCGCCCCACAGATAGGCCCTGATCGCCAGCCAGGCCTAGGGACCCTACCCGTGCACAAATTTTGTGCACTGAGCCTCTAGTTTTTAAATATAACAAGTTCTTCAGCACCTTCCTAGAGAGCTCTTCTGTTCTCATGCAGAGATCCCTCCAGTCATAGCTAGACTCATCAGAACCATTGGAGGAACACAGCTTAGATCTAAACTAGACATCCTCTACCAACCACAGTCTTACACAACATTTTAGTATAGAATCTGTTGCCCATGACAGGGCTATGAATAGATCACTACTGGAACACAAAAGGACTCTTACCTTGCTAGGAGTTATCCTATTTTATAATGAATCATATAATATTCTAATTTATGTTTGTTATTTATCTCTCTCCCTGGATAGAGTCTTGTCTGTTCTGTTTGCTGTATCCCAAACACCCAAAACTGAACAATATCTGGCACAGTATTGGTACTCAATAAATGTTTGTTGAGTAAATGAAAGTATGGTGTTCCTACTAGGAAGTCATTAGTTACACACTGAAAAACAGGGTAAAATTAAAAACTAAAAATGGAAGGAAAATATTGAGTTACCTAATAGATACTAGAAAGTCTTGAACCAAGACAATGACAGTAGAGCTAGAGAGTGTGGGTGTGTTATGGATGGTTGTGAAAAATACTGGGGAGGTAAAAATGAACAAAATTTGGTGACTGGGCATTAAGAACAAGAAAATTATGAGCTTAGAACTTTTCCTGGACTTTTAGCTTAGCTGTTGGTTGGATAGCAATCCCTTCACAGAGATAGAAAATGGATGGCCAAATTGGGTGAAAGGATAAAGTTTCTGTTTCACACATGGGAGAACTGTATTCCCTGTGTAACAGTCAAGATGTTTAGTATATAGTTGGATATATAGGTCTAAAGCTTATGAAAAGTCTGGTCTAAAAATAGAGGGTCATGTAATAATAGGTGGAAGTTGAAGCCAAGAATGTCCCCTAGAGATAATGTGTATAGTGAAATAAAATGGATGCAGGACAGAATTCTAGGGAAACATTAATATTTAAGAAGAGCCCTTGACCTGGCTGGGTAGCTCAGTAGGTTGGAACATCATCCCAATACGCCAAGGTTGTGGGTTTGATCCCCACATACAAGAAGCAACCAATGAATGTATAAATATGTGGAACAACAAATCAATGTGTTTTTTTTCTCTCAAGTCAATTTTTAAAAATATATATATATTTAATTGATTTTTTACAGAGAGGAAGGGAGAGGGATAGAGAGTTAGAAACATTGATCAGCTGCTTCCTGCACACCCCTACTGGGGATGTGCCCGCAACCAAGGTACATGCCCTTGTCTGGAATCGAACCTGGGACCCTTCAGTCCGCAGGCTGATGCTCTATCCACTGAGCCAAACCGGTTAGGGCTCAAGTCAATTTTTAAAAAAAGAAGAAGAGCCCATAAAAGAGACAAGGAAGGGATAGCAGGAGAAAGAAGAAAATCATGAGAGAGGTGCTCCACAAGTAGGGTTTCAGTGGATTGAGTCAGTTGTGTCAGCTGCTCCCAGGAAGGTCTAATAAACAAGATATTTGTTAATCGATTGTTTACATTATCAGTAAGGCTTCTGGTCAACAGTAGGTTATTAGTAATTAAGTTTTTGGGGAGTCAAAAGTTTTATGTGGCTTTTCAATTGTGCAGGAAATCGGCATCCCTAACCCATGCATTGTTCAAGGGTCAGCTTTACATTTGACAATTAGGTTTGCATCCATAATCTTATAAAAGTTTCAGTAGCGTGGGTACAGGGGTGACAAAAGGTAAGCTATAATGGGACAAAGCTTCAGCAGCAGGTAATAAATATAACATCTTTGAAGAATCTTGGCTGAGAAAAGATCGGGGAAGGGGGGGGAGTTTGCTCTAGAAATCAAGGAAGTATTTTGGTGCCTGATTATGTTTTTAAGCTAGAGATTTATAATATAAACTAGAGGCCCAGTGCATCCCTAGGCTTGGCCAGCAATCAGGGCTGATCTGTGGGGAGACCGGCAGGGCGATGGGGGGGGGCCCCCTGCTGGCACCCACCTTGGCTGGCCTGGCGCCACCCACTCGCTGGCCCCACCCCCTGCCCCTGCCGCTGGTCACCTCCCTCTGCCTGCTGGCACCCGCCTTGGCTGGCCTGGTGCTGCCCACTCACAGGCCCCGCCCCCCACCAAACAGTTGTTCCACAGGTCGTTCCGCTGTTCGGTCAATTTGCATATTAGGGTTTTATATAGATAGATATTCTATTTATAGGTATTAAGGAGAATGAGCTAGTTACGGAAGATTTGTGAGAAATAATGAATCGTGGAGATGAAAAGAGACATACCTAAAAGTTATAGCACTATTATTCGTAAGCAGGAGAATACCTTCTTAAGACAGGGATGAAGGTAACTTCAGAAAACAATACATATGTAGGAATGTGG